GAATACGTAGCTTAAATTACTCTCGCTGGCAACAAGGTTAGTGTTAGAAGTTTACACTGTCAAAGTATGTTACCAAAATAAAGATTAAAACACAGACTAGATAGGTTACTTTTGTACTTTCCAGGTAAGAAAAGGGATAACATGTTTCTGTACATATGCTTAGACAATAAAAACCCACACTAATACTTCATATAAGATACAATCAAATAGCGAAGGATTCAGCTAGGATTATGTTATGTTCTTTTAGAATTTTATAGTATCGTAAAATTGTCGTAATTCTATCGTCTTGTCTATCATTAGTGTACGAAGATGACAAACGCTACGACAACCATCCATCGGCCACGTGAATCGTAAACAAACACGAGTGAATAATGCAACGCGCACACGATGACGTAAACAAGAATACATCTAAGCAAACCAAATAAGATTCCCTGATGATTTTTATATCACGATCATGCCTTCGACATTATGCAAATAAATAACTAATAGCCTATACCTGGTCTTCTTAGGTATGAATGTAGCTGATCAATTAAAATGTGAACATTAATTCCATTTGAATTTGTGCATGGGAAATGCTATACTTACTCACACATAAACTCAATTAGATAAGCAGTTTTAAACAATTAATATAATTGTTACTAGCGATATTAATTTAACACTGCTCTAGAGATCTCGTCAGGAATGAGCGCGAATTTCCCAATCATTTTCATGACATTGACAGCAGTCAGCTAGTGATGTGACGTTTATGCTGACAATCTAGTGTTGCATCAATTCTAGAGCACGGTACTAATTTTCTTCTTAACAATAGTGTAACTTCTTTCAGGGACTTTTATAGACTGGATAGAATAAAAACTGTGGCAGTACAAATTTAGTCCTACTACTAGTACACTGCCTAATATTTGGTAATTTTATTCATCTATTGGTGGTTTCATTCATCGATCCTGTACTAAGCAATCTGAGGGTTAAATTAGTTATCGAAGTAATCACAAATCCCTCACGCAATGGCGCCAAGAGATATAATAGTCGTATCGCATGTTAACTAAATTTGGTTCTAACATATATCCAAAGATGCGGAAGTTATTTCAACGGAAACCGTATTTTTGCCTTTATTTCTATAGCGTTCCATTTCAGTCGAAAGCGACGAGATGCTCACGAGTTCACGACTAACTCATTAACACTAATGTCGGTTAGGACTTGCTGTATAGGAAATGCTTACCGTATTAATGTCTTCTTGTTAAGATATATTTATGTTTACGCTCGGAATTTAGTCGCAATTTTTATAGATGTCTTTTTTTAATCTATACCGCGGCTCTGTCCTATAGTTAAGTCGAAACTATCGTCATTTTTGGCTTAATTTTTGTGTAAAGTTGGACATCCGGAATCAACGAAGAGGCCAATGGCCGAGATGGAAATGTCTCCTAACGTAAAAATAAAAACGTCTCCGAAAATTTCCTTTGGACTTTGTTCTTATCGCATTTTTTCATCATTCAGGTCATAAAAATGTCAAATCGGCACAATACATTTTACTGAGTAACTACGACTCTATATAACAAACGTTGTACGCCTGTGATTTATTCAAACGATTGGATTCTAATAAATAAACAAGGTATGCGGAATACGATACGCTTCGAGTCACAGGTTAACAATTCACAATATTTTTTATTTATTTATAGTCTGTCAGCAAAATAAATAGCTAGATATAATCAACAAAATCTGGTCAGATATTCCAGTATAGAAGTGGAAAAATATTTATGTAAAATGGTCCAAGTTAAGGAAATGCAACTTAATGTATACTTTAAACACGCAACAAAGCACGTGTTGTGTTGTTAAATCGTTTAAGGCATTATTGGCTTTATTCAGATGTCTCAATCTCGATTATGGTCAAACGGGTCTAGTCGCCGTAGAAGTAAAGCAATGTATTTCACTTGCGTAATATGCCCTTATCTAGTCTTTTATGTGACAAAAGCGTGTAGTTAACACTTAATGTTTGTGTCGACTTTACTAAATGTATGCGTGAATTCCAAATACCGTGACACTTGTGTACGAACATTATTGCTATCTCTTTTTTGTTAAGCGGAATGAAAGGGACGACAGTATCGTAAGACACTTAAACAGTGGAGATTCATTGTAAGGTCTGTTCGAAGTAAACATAACGGATAGATTGCCTTTTACGCGGCTATGGGAAAATCAAGGATATAAATACATCGTGTACTGTTAACGGATTTAATTTAATTGGCGGAGAAAGAAAACGATACGAATAACAGCGTATCAGTCGTGCTGATAGTCGTGTTCAATGGAATTTATAACAAACCTATCTAAATCACTTTTATAAGACTGTAATCGCAGACTTATTTAAAATAGACAAGTTTGTATCATTAATTTAAACGCCCGCTTCTCCGTCCGCGTGGAATTATAAAAAACAAGTGTACTTCCAGGCTATCCTCTACATCTATACCGAATTTCATCGTAATCCGTTCAGTAGGAAAGGCTACAAACTCTAACAAACATCCATCCATTCATCCATCTAAACTTTCGCATTTATAATATTACTAGCTTTCGCTTGCGACGCCCTCCGCGTGGAATTAAAAAAAACAACAGTGAATAGCCTATGTTGTCTTCCAGACTATCTTCTACGTCTATACCAAATTTCATCGAAATCCGTTCAGCCGTTTAGGCTGCAACTTTAATAATCATCCATCCATCCATCTAAAATTTCTCATTTATGATATTACTATGAAGTATGATAAATGATGTCAGCCAGTGACGTGTAAATTTAATTTCTCATTTCCTTTGAATTCGACTCCACCTAAGATCTAAGTCGGCAATATTTCACAACCATATTAGTTGCAGCACTTAAGAAGCGATTTTACGTACTTTGTGACATTTGTTTTTACAATATACCTGAGTTGTTTTGCAAAACTATTAACAAAATATTTGCACAATATATCGACAGTTAAATGCTATACAAACAGTGTTTACATCACCGAAGTTAGTCAAACGTAAAGCAAATATACTTTTAACACTTACATTTTCCGCGACAAACCGATTGATGAAATCAAATGACATACAAATGCGGTCAAATTTATCATAATAGTTAGGAATAACTCATAATATTCTAAGAGTGAGCAATATCCCATCAATATCGATGGCCCTTAAAAGATATTGTTTTGTTAAAGAAGGAAAAGAGTCTGTCTTTAATTTTACTATTGGCAGGTAACAATGGAGTTTTAATTTTATGAAACAAAAATGTTACTCGACATGTGTCAGTTGTCACACAAGCCAAACGAAAGTTGTTTATTCTGAAAAATGTTTTTTAAATACAACGCTTAATTTGTGACTACTTTTTTTTTTAATTAACTAAATAGCCCAAGTAGGGTTGGCGAAAGGCACGCCGAAAATGAGTGAAATCAAAGATAAGGATTTTTGATACGTGAAAAAAGAAAAAGGAGGAGTAGGATAATGGGAAGATGATTTAATCATAGGTGAGTTATTTGGTTCACTTACTCCTCTTATTCTATATTATAAAATTATTTTTGCACGCGATACTGTGTAGAATTAAAAAGCAAAGTATTAAGATTATGCTCTACATCTATGTCAAATTTCATCGTGATCCATTCAGCAATACGCGGCAAACTTTAACAAATATCCATTATAACTATCATTTATAATATTAGTAAGATGTAACGTTCCCTATTGTTTTATTCGTAGATCTATACTAATATTATAAACAGAATGATTTGTATCTTTGCAAGTAATGCAATAACTCAAAAACTACTGGGCCGATTACAAAAATCCTTTCATCATTAAAAAGGTATGTTACTAGTAAATAACATAACATAACACAAAATAACTTTCGCTCTTATCAAGTCAATTGCCTAAAAGTAGTGATGATGTAACAAATGTCAACAGTCCGAGCTCAAGTAGAGACAAGTCGTTCGGTAACGCCTTTACAAACATTACTAAATCAATATTCGCGAGTCGCCACTTCAGATGCAGAGCAATAAGAACGGTTGTTTAATAAAACGATGTCTACGGGGCCAAGAATGGTCTGTCACAAGCGATACAATTGTTAGGTAATCACATAAATGTGTAGCTTTATTTGATTCGTATTTATAACTACTCAAATACGTGATTGAAAAGATGAACTACATGTCTATACGGAATCCATAAGCTGTATATTGTTCTGGCAGTTTAAACTGAACAGTTTTACTTTTCAATTTAAAGTGTGAGTGTTTATGTTTTTACACTGTTGTAATTAAAATCGTAAATTTGACGATTATTTGTGATTTTCGTAATTTTAGAAGCTAAAAATAATCACTTGAGAACGATTGACTTGTTTCTAAGTGTTAACAGCGTAGAATGTAACTTTCTATAGGTTTAAAGTGAAAAGCTTTTCCATTTAACAAAAGCTGTAACGTCAGCACTTCGAACCGCACTTACGAGTTTTTTATCGATGTTTTCAAACGTTTTCGTCTTTTTGGTTCTATCGACGTTTTATCCCAAAATGCAGTGAACTTTGTCCATTCGTAGATTGTTGTTTAAAATACAGACAAATTGAGTACCTCCTTCTTTTGTTAAGTCGGTCAAAAAACATAATCATAATTGTAATTAATATTTGAGTCAGTTAATATGCCCTTATAATGTAGATTTTTAATTTTCTCATTTGTAATTCATAAAAAATAACAAGAATATTTTTATGCTGTTACATTATTTCTGTTGTGTAGGCGGTGACATTTAAAGATTTCTAAATTATCATTTATGTCAAATATGTGGAAATCTATTGCATGTCAATTTTGCTTTAAATATAAACTAACATCTAAAATTATGTTTTTTTACCACAAACATAATAATTATATTTTACATGCCACATAATAAAATATTCCCATGTAAATATCAGTCTGTTACAAACATTCATTACAATTGTTCTTTGATAGATAAAAAAGTTTGCAATAATTGTTTTCATCTACCCGGTCAAGACTGTAACTCCAACTAATACTAACCTGACTGCAACTCGAACACTGGATTCATTGCTGGCCATGTCTACATCTGCATACCTTTAAAACAAATTAAAAAAAATAAGAAACGGATAATAAAATATGGAATAGATTCAACAGTTCCTAGAATTTGACTACTATTTTAGATGGCTAGTAGGTGGTTAAGAAATATTAATTATTATTCTGTTGAATGTCAACTCATTAAAAATAGAAAAATGTAAATTAAAATAAGAGATTTAAAAATATTCATCCTAAAAGTCAATTAAGTCTGATGTTAAATCTGTTTATCAGACAATGTTTAATTAACAAACAAACCCATTTATAAACTATTACAGTAAAATAGTGATTAATAATTAGTTTTGTTAATAACTACTACAATTATAAAAAAAAATGCAAAATCGTAGGCATGTATACACAACAATGTGATAACGTGGATATTTTATTTGGCATGAGATAATAAATATTGATGACATAGGACTTGTCAAACTACGAGATTCGTCATATGTAAGCAAAGGATTTTAGTTATTTTGTAATAAACGCTGGTTTATTAAAGTCTACACTTACGACAATTTATAGTATCCTTAATGTTTCTTGATTTTAAGCATATTCCTTTAAGATATTCATCGAAACAACACGCTTTTTTTAACGACTGAGATTTCCGTCCATCTTTCACTATTGTAACATAATTAAAGAAATAAAAGAAACATCATCATTTGTCAAATAAAACATAGGAAAATTTCTTATTAATTCAATAATATAGTTTCATGTAAAATTCATTATTTAGTGATGACGTTATTTTATAAAATCGCTATTATAAACAATCGAATTTTGAATACAAAACGCCGCGACGTCGACAATCGTTCTCCAATACGCGCACGGATTGACACTGACAGAATTTAAGCCGAACGACAGAACGATTTGAAAAAATAAGCTACTGTCACTTGTCATTATGACATTAATGACCTTCCTATAAATTTCAATTAACGATATTTATTTTTCTGTTTCACAAAACATGATTAATAATTTAAACAGCTAATAAAATGTAATTAATCAGATGGGATATGAAAACATAATAAATCATAAGTAAAATATATAAATATTTGTAACATTCAAGAGATGGCGATAGCTTCGCGGTGGCGTACGACGCACTGGTTCCCTTAGTTTGGAATTTTAGTTACAGATGGCGCTGTAATAAATATTAAAATAAAAAGGACATTTGAAAAGGATATAGGAATCGAACACTGTCGCCATTGTGTTTTTGGAATTATGATATACATGTGCACAAAGGTCATTCCACGTTACGTATTAAAATATCCTAAGCTTCAAAAATAATTTATTTTTATTAGACCGCTGTATTAAAATAAAATTACTATGGCGTTTGTTTCGTTTCGAAACGAGATCAATAGGAAAAAATATAAATAGGCCAACGCCACGTGTTCATAATTCTTAAAACACATCACGTACCAATGGCCAAAAATATTTCTAAAGTAATACGGAAAAGTCGGTGATCCCGTGGGCTACGTGAATGCCGCAAAAATGTTTTTCCGAGGCGTTTTACACTCTCGAATTATCGACTTGGTGTACGTGACAAAGTTGGCGCCAATCCACCCTTGTTTTTTATCTGTAAATTGTTTTTCCTTCAAAAAACATCTTTGTAGTTATTCTTTTTCCATTGTATTTTTATACACTCTGATAATTCCTATAATGTGACGTGATGTTATACCTTTATCTCATTAATATCGATCTTGTGTTTGTAAACTTTAACGTAATTTTTAAAAGAAACCAGTTTTTGTGAGTATTGACCATAGTCTTTGCAGGTACAGTTAAAAGTCATAAATACGTGTTGGAGGAAATTAGTGGATGTTACAATTTGCTAGTAGGCAATAACTGACAAGAAATAATAGGCAAAGGATATAATTACGAGGGCGCCGTGCAATGCCTATTAAAGTTGTAATGGCGTCGAACACGAAACGAGAAGGATTTCAGTGTTGAATAAACAAAATCTGACGCTTTAAAATGTAGCTGTTGATTCCCAAAGTTTTAAATGGTATAATTCTTTTTTTAATTAAAATACTTCGAATATTCGTATAGAACGACGGTTAGTGTTAGTTCGTTATTTCAGTTTTCAGTAAATATTTTAGCAGGACTGTTTGTACTCCGGCTTGCATTTACTTTGCAATTCTTTTCCCTTTCAAATTCACCTGAAAGTTAGTAACCAGCAATTTTTTAAGTAGTTAACTTGTGTTTATTTAATAAACATAAACACTAAGGATTTAATTTTTTTTTTAAAGTAAGCCATTGTTTTATGTTTGGGGTTTCAAAACTTGACCAACTAAGTATATTTTTATTGCTGGGTATTAACTTATTTCACAGTTAACGTCACATTAGTTGACTTAGTGTGTCAACAAGTTTCTAAATTAACTAATTAAATTAATTGCTTTAAAATTAATAGCGACGGAAGCTTTGGGCATCTCCAGTTTATGTAAAGATATCACACGTCCGTCCGTCTTCTGAGATCAAGGCTGCAGTAAGGTTCGAAAGCTGCCGTTTGTAGGAGCCGCCAGCCACCGCCGACATCGCCACTGTTGACACTTAAAATATACACGGCCATTTCCAGTAGAGCCACTTACGTATACATAGGGAGTTACCGCGCGGAAGTTTGGACTAAAAATTAAGCTGCGATAAGCTATGGGGAGCAGTTAACATATGTATGAAGGTTAGTTGATTACGTCACTATTATTGTGGTAAGTTGGATTGAGACATAATGATTGCATGAGATTATAACAAACAATAAACCAATGTGTGGGAGGGTGGCTTTCGATCTGTAACAAATTATGTTTGAATATTGCCTTTCAAATTAATAGAGTGTGAATGAATTAACATGATTGCATAGTGACAGAGGCCGCGTAGGGTCTATGCGGGGACAATGGGCTTGCGGGCGAGAGAGTCGGGCTCGCTCACACGGCGTGCGCCAACGCATGTCGGCCCTGTCGGCCATGTCGGCCATGTCGGGGCGAACGCCCGCACGGGAAACAATACACGTTCTATTATTTGACTCCTCGGCGACCTGTGCCTTAAGACGTGTGCACACCATCTCAACTAGCTGTCAAAGAACACTGTGACACGCAAATACGTTTTGTATTTTCGACCGACTTTCCAAAAGAAGGTACTCAATTCGTCTGTATATACAGAAAACATATATTTTAATTTTTTGTTATGTGTGTTACGCGATGTTCCCGGTTCTGCTGGACCGATTTTGAAAATTTTTTTTTTTATCCGAAAGGGAGTGATTCAAGGTGGGTCCCATTTTTTGTTTCATTTTTGGAGGCAAAGACTATGGCGTAGTAAATAGTTTTTTAATGTCTGCTAGTAACTAGTGTTTGCTTTTTAGCATAGTAAATGGAATAGTATGATTAAACTCCAATCATGGGCAATATATATTTTATGACAAAAATATAGTACCATAGATAACAATATAAAATTTGTCTCAATGCAAAGTATGGTAAAAGTGAGAAAATGGTAACCAATAATAACTTTGTTTTAATTCCTTAAAGTTCAAGTGTAATGTTTACGCAATTTGCCATCTCTCACTTGTATGTACATATATAAACTGTGACAAGTGCATTAGTGGTCGAGTGTGAATCACGCCTTAGGGTTAGCACTCGCGGCTAAGTGAACGGCAAACGACAATATTCCTTTCATGGGAAATTGAACTTTTACTTAGCAGTCGTTAATGTGCTGGAGGCTGGAGGTATTCCGTCACAGGCTCGGGAACAATTCATTCCACTTCGTTGTTGAATGTATTAGCACGCTCACTCTGTTCCCTCAGCTTTTGTTTTTAAACAGCCAACGTATGTCACATCAAGTTGACATGGAGATACGAAGAGGAACGGACTGTCCACGATGTATGAACATTTTACAACATTTTATTATTTTTCAATATTATTTCTATGGTCTATAATGGTAGAAAACAATACCAGATGATGCTTATTGCGTGTTAATAAACTTGGTTTTCGAAATTATGGCACTTTTGTATGTACAAGTAATTGATTATTTTTTTATTGCAGTTCAGTGCATTTTTCTCATAAAATTTATTTAGAACATTATGATTTTGTGTTTGTAAAATATATTGACACATTTGGTTATCACGTTTTTTTCTTGTTACACTGAGCTAGTATTTTATTACGCTATTCTTCGGAAGCCACCGGATAACATAACTATTCATGGTATAGCTAGTTTTTAGATCTTGCTTCTAAGACATATGAGTTTGTCCATAACAAACCTTATTAGACAGACTGGCAACTTTTTATATAGTGAATCGAGGTAATTATGCCTATAGTGTGCGGAGTAGGAAGAAGGAAAGTTGGTCGTGGCCGCGAGCCGCGGGTTGTTAGAAAGCGCAGGAAAAGTTGCCGCGTTAGAGGCGCCCTCTAACGACCAACTTCCATTGAATTCTTTGCAAGGAGGATGATTAATCTGTTCTAAAATTTCTGTTTTGTTCTCAATTTTATTGTTTACAAAGTCTAACTTCGTAATTGTTTCTGGGGTCATAATTTTTAATGATTCTGTTATAGCAAGATAATTAAATCCTTGCCATAATTGATATCACTATAATAGAAATGGCTACGATATAAAATTAAATATGAATGATCCGATATCTCTGTTTTATTGAAAAATCCATAAGCAAATTTTTAAACATCAGACGGAAAATAATAAAAGGAACAGTGTTATGAATGGGATAAGACGATAAGCGAGATCACCCGCACGCGGCGCCGGCGGCTAATCTAGTCTGTGATGGAACAAACGTATCATGGTAATGTAACACAAGGGTGCGCGGCGGCGGGGGGCGGGGGTGCGTTGACCTCGCGCCGGGTTTACGAGTGCATTTGCACAGTGACACCCCGCCGCACCCCGCATCCCGAACCCGCCTTCACCTCCAGACCGCCCCTCTCCCCTATACCCGGCATGCGCGCACGCAGCGCGGCGGTTCTCGAAATCGCAAAAAGCCTCCAATTATAATACGGGACGCGGGACCTCTCCTGACAACTTGGAAGCTCGCCGCTTGCCGCTTGCCGCCGCCGCTCGAAATGGAGTACTGCTGACTTCATTACAGCTCAGGGTTCGTATAACGAGTTGATAAAAACATATTGCTGAATTTAAGGTGGGTGATTTTGAATTTGAGCTTTGAATATTTAGACTTGTAAAATTAAATTTGAATAACGGTTTATTTGCAGAGTTGTGTCTCTACTGTCTCGGACGTGTGAAATCGTACATCTCTAATCTAATTTATAGAAACGTAAACTTCGTTTATCCCTTCCATTATAAGTAAGACAAAAAGATTATCGCATTTTAAAGAGTACGCTATATTCGATAATAAGAATAAGCAACAATTATTTCATTTTATATATCCATCGATTGAGTGGTATTTAGAATAGTGTATCCAGTTGGTAAGCTAAAGGAATTAGATAGTTAAACTTTTTTCTCTAGTCTGTAGTTGAATCACGTAACGTCAGCTGAATGGATCGAGGCATTTACTATTGCACGCCGGCGCTCGTGGAATCCAACGTACTACGGATGTACTCGGCTTATTACATGCTACAGGAATGACGCTCGCCTAGATTTGAACATAACGATTTCATGTTTTTATTAACAAGCGTGAAATATTACGCTATCGCAAGTCATATATTTAATTTACAAGGTATAGAAACATTTTAATACTCTAGTTGACTCTGCTGTTTGATTAGATACAGTGTGAAT